AACATTATGCTGTACACCAGAAATTGATACACTGTAACTGACTATACTTCAATTAAAAAAAAAAAAGGAAAGGCCATTAGGTTTTTATCATGTACTCTACTGGAAGAAATCCTTTAACCTCTCTGGATTTTAGATTCTTTATAAAATGCCTTAGGTCCACCTTTAACATTATGTTTCTGTTTTTCAATCTTCTTAGGTTAATCTCTGAATTTGGGCAGTCCCTGGCTATCAATTTTTATATAGAACACTCCATTGCAAACAGCTTAGTTTCTTCTTGTTTTAGTGTCCAACAGAAAAAGTCTATCACCAGTACATAATTTGTGAGTCCAATGTGCAATTCAGTAGCATTTTATGCCTTTTTAAAAAGTACCACGTATTCATACAGTATGATGTAAATTTAAATCTTTTGACTTAGACTACTAAATAGTATTCTATCTTTAATTTCTGGTGACATTAGTAGGCGGATATTTTAATGTTTAGTATATGTCAAAATATGTATCCAATTTTTCATAGGGAGACATTCCCTACGCCCCCTTTGAGGTGTGCTAGAAAAAAAGCATCTGCTAAAAATCAATTTTCCATTTCTGAAAAGTGCAGATCCTTTGTGTATCTGGGGCTTATCTTTCAAAGTGTTTGCTTCTTACAGCTTAATCTTTTAAATGGTCACTGCAACTTTCTCTCATTATCCATATACATGTCCAGCATATGCAGACTCATCACTTGTGTCCAAATCTCCACATTTTTGCTATAGTCTCTGAGGAGGAAAAATTACACACTTAAAAAAGAGTCTTAAAAAGAATAATGTAACACATTCTTTTTCATATTTCTTTGAGTTAAAAATTTTTGTTTTACAGATCATATCAGATAATATATCTAGATATCACCCTATATCCCATATAGTTCATATGTATAATTAACTATATACCTTATATTTAGTTTATGAAGAAAAATCTCAAATTACATTTGTTACAGTGTCACCAATGTCTTCTAGAAAGCAAAATGGAACCTGGGCTGGGGTCTCAGACTAGCACACAGTGAAGGTCTCCAGATCTCTCTTAGGTGTGGCACTGTCTTCTGACTACACAGGATATGCTTGCCTGCAACTTGCTTTTTCCCACTGAAAATGACTCTCCTTGTTTAGATACTACCATTTCAGATCCACACTAAAACTGATCAGAAAGGTATCTTTGTAAGTTCTTTCTCATATTCGAGGAGAAAAGTAACGGCAGCATTAAGGCAGCCAAAATCAACACATTTGTGTGTTGACATTTCAAGTGATTTATGTGCTTATTGGGCTGCTCAATAAAATAATGCATAATTACCAAATCTACTGACACATAAAACAACTAATCATATTTTTTTTCTGACTCAGGCAATTTCTTTTTTAAAGATGAATGAAATTCAGTCAGTTTTATATTTATTGAATTTAAATACATTTTCCTCTGAAATTAAAAAAAATGATCAATTAAAAACTATGATCCCATAAGAGCAAGAGGGAAACAGCCCTGCTTTAATGATTTCCTCTAGATTTGGTGTCTGTCCCATTTTGCACAGAGCTCATCTGTTCTAGTCAGGAAGTACATGGAAGAGCTCCCTGTGCAGAGCTGGCAGCCTGGACTCAACGGGACCTCAGTCATTTTTTGCTTGCGTACCCTTGGACAATCACGTATCCTTTCTGAGCCAGTTTCCTTTCCTACAAAATGGGGTTCATAGCAACTGTCCCTGACTTCCTCATATAGTTGTTCTCAAGGTTAAATGAAATATGAAAATATTTCTCTAAAAGTAAAATGCTATACCAAGATATGTTTCGGAATGATTTTCCTTTGTTTTTAGCCAAAAATATGTTTGTTTCCAAAGAGCAATATAAGCTGAGTTTTCTAGAAATAAAATGCCACCAATTTAAAATCCAACGTAAAGATGTTATAGAGAACAACAGCAGCTGTATTAGGACCACCTAGGATGACATTTCTTAATCCTAGGTCAAGGGCAAGTTATCACCACCTGTAGAAGTGGTCAGCTTTTTCAAGTTGAGAATCTTTTGAGAGGGAATATTTTTAAGTCATTGGAAGATGATGTTAAGGTAAAAAAAAAAATCAAACATTAAGGCTTTTATTCACCAACTGATTTAGGGACAAAGTAAACTTCAGATTGCTTACTTTCACTTCCACGTGGTTCAGGATAATTGAATCCCTGGCCGTGGAGTATCAGTTCTTCCCTAGGTATTAAACTCTAGGAACTGAGCTTGTGGGGAAATATAATTTCTCTCTCATTTTAACAAATGCTGAGCAGAGAGAAGCAGCAGCTCTACCCCATCTGCTCATCCTCTTCCAGATACAAGAAAAGATTAGTCCCATTCGATAAAGATCTGGAGTCTCACTCACTTCCTTTTTGCTCCTCTCCCCCACCCCATGTGCTAGGGTTGCTTCTGTTCCCACTGTCCAAATGTGACGCTTTGCTAACAGCTCTGTGGAATGGAGATGGCTCCCAGATAAAGGAGCTGCACTGGCCAGAAAAATGTTCTGATTTTTCCCTTTACTGATGCTATCTTGAAACATGTATTACTCCTTATCTTTTGGGAAGGGGAGATGGAATGTCCCTGATGGTTATTTTGTGTCTTTATAGCATGTGATTTAACATCAGTTCTTTGAGTGAAAGGGGACAAAGGACACAGTGGAATGGAGGCTGGCTAAAGAGATAAGTGGATCTTGTAAGAGGTATTTGGCAAAAGTATGGACTTAATGGTGTGGTGGACGGGCTTCAGGGTGGCCCCATGATTTCAGCCTCCCTGCTGTCCACACGGGTGTATAGTCCCCTCCACCGAGTGTAGGCAAGACCTCTGACTTGCTTCTAACCAACAGACTATAGCAAAGACAGTGGGATTTCAGTTCCTGTTCACATTATATTATATGAGACTCTGTCTTAGCAGACTGCCCTAGTTTCTTCTAGCTGGCTTGATAAATTCACAGACCATGTTGAGCAATCTACATGTCAGGAAACTCTGGGTCACCTCTACGAGAATGTGGCCTCTAGCAACTAAAGTGTCCTCTAGGACGTGAGGGCAGCCTCCAGCTGAGAGCCATCTAAACAGCGGGGCCCTCATCCAGCAACAAGGAAATGAATTCTGACAACAATCTGAATTGGCTTGGGAGCAGATTTTTCCCCAGCCGAGCTTCCAGATGTGCATATGGCCCAAATGACACCTCTACTGAGTCCTTTTGAGTCCCTGAGCAGAGGACCTAGCTAAACCACACCTGGACTCCTGACCATCAGCAACCATGACAAAATAAATATGCAGTGTTTTAGGATGTAATAATTTGTTACGCAGCAATAGAAAACTAACATAACAGCTAACAGGAGGAGGTCAGAAAGATGACTTGGTGAAATGATTAGATGTCAAGTAACAGAGCAAAGGATGAAGGAAGCAGGTTAAGTGAAGGGCACAGGGCAGCACAGAAAATGGATACCTTAAGAATCTTTTGTATTATTTATAGAGTAAAGACCTATATTTGTGAATGTGATATGAAGCGTTGCTTTACAGCATACCTTTAGAATGCAAAGTCATTTCAACGTATTCTGTATTTTTCAGATTCTGAATATTTCCTTCTGATTAAACATTTATGTTGCTTGCTTCTTAAGTGCCATCCCTGTACTGCATATTTCATCTCACAGCTTTGTTTAGAATCCCTATGGCAACTGGTCTACTCCCACTTTCTTTCTTTACCTAGTTGAACTGCAAAAACTCTACTTTTCATAATAACATCAACAGTGAGCTTGATATTGTAGAAGTCTCTTTTATTAAGGGTAAGAGTACAATAAAGTAGTTAAATCTTTTTTTTTTTAATTAGAAAAAGCTAGATGCACTTTCCGGTAACCAATCACTCTATCTTACTGTATCTGCCTCATCGATTCACCATCTGCTTCCAAATTTCATCCAACATGTTTTTCTTCTTTGATCACACCTCTTATTTTTCTCACTTTTATTTAAATTCACATGAACCTTATGAAAGTTAACACGTTCATGCTCTCAACACTGCACACATGATCACTGTCTCTTGGCCACTCATCGTCATTTAATCTTGGCCATGAGTTAAGCAGCACAAGGAACACGGTATCTGGACAACTTTGTGTTGATGGCAACAGGGGTGAGGAGAAACAAGACTGTATGTAATTGCACTCACAGTTACAAACAGCACCTCTTAAGTTTGGGCAGGAGGCTGACGTATACTTTTTAATTATCTGCCACCCTCATCATAGGTGAAATGTGGGTTTTCCTCACTGCTCTCTTTCCCCCTGATGTCTTGGCAAAAGATCCTGATCTCCCCAGAGTTCCCCATGTCAAACTGAGTGTACTCACATTCCCTGCTTCAGTGAATATATTTGTCATCCACATTTGGCAAATTTGTGAATTCAGATAATTTCCATTTTATGCCCTGCAATCTATTAGTTGGCCTTTGGAGGTTTCACAAGGCTTAGCAGGTGCATCACATAGGGATTCAGTGATGCAAGAATGATCGTAGATAATAAGGGCTATTTTCGCACACTACGTTTCTAGATGGCAATTCCCAGCATGGACCTACAGAAACACTGAAAGGTAGACTTTGGAAAACACCAAGCCAGTTCATAACAGCAAATAATTTAGAGAATATGATAACTGTGTGCAGCAGTCCACTTCATAAATTCTTTAGATTAAAAAAATCTACATTTATTCCATAGATGGCAGTAAGGCAAAATACTGACTGGGCCATTATCAGGTTGATTTAGACTATATGCTCCATGAACCTTTATAAATAAGGCTAAACATACCATTAATTTTCCAAAGTCTCTTCACAATGTATGGTCTTACTATGACCATTTCAATGAAAGATTCAAAACATGGCCATCTAGACACTGGTTAACAAAGGTGCAAGGAAGAGATGGAGGCAAGCAAATAAATAAAAAATTTTGCAAGCACCTAACGCTTGAAATACGTTTATATTCCAATGATTAAGTTCATTGCCAATTCCAGTTTTAAGGTACTTTATCTATGAAGACACTCTAATATATGCACATATTTCAGGTTTTTTTCACTACTTAATTATTTTCAACAAAGTACAGCCTGGAAAGATGAAAGATATTTTACATGAATCTATTCATTTCAAATGTTACAGAAATATTATTGCTGACTAATAATTATTATCATACATCATATTCTGAAAGTTATGACCATCAAATTATTTTTAAAATGAGATCTTTTGATTAATTAGTTAATGATTATCGACTTTGGCGTTCTCTTCTGGATTAGTAATGTATAAACACAAAGCTTTAAAACCTTGGTGCGGATTAAGTGTCTACCCAAATCAACGACTGCTGAAGTATCTGTGGAAGCACTAGTTGCTGTCCTGGAAGATTCAAGTTACCTAAACAAGAGACTAGCTTGAAACAGTCACTAATATGAAACATTAGAATGAATAATTCCAGTGAGGAAGGAATAAAAGAGCCCCAGTGGTAATAAACTGTTCTTTAAGCAAAACCTTAATTATAGTAAAGCAGTATTTCTTGCCTTTATAAAAGGCACATTTCCATTCTTTGAATATAAAGACTTCACGCCCTTGTTAATATTACCTGAAATTTTTTAAAAATTCCACGAATAAAACAAAATCAAAGTAATGTGACAAAAAGTATAAATCACACATACTCTCCTCCATTCCCCTTTGAAATAAGAAACCCTTGGGGTGACAGCTTTCTCCTATCTGCATCCTGGCTCCTTCATTTTGTAAATAGCATCCTTTAATCACATTAAAGGAAGAATAGAGAGAATCGTCCAAGTACTGCTATTGAATCTCTTTGTCCACCTGCCATAAGACCTCCTCCTTAAATTCTAAACCAGTGGTATTTAAGCATGCTGAATTTTAAAGTAATTCCAATGCGGAACAAGTTTCCTTGAAAAACAAAATTAGGAATGATTTCTTTGCATATAATTTAGGGTGCACCCTGTATTTGCAAAGAGAATCTTCCATGGAACTTAAGTCTGCAAAAATGGTGAAAGTTGGACTACTCAGACTGACTGAGGAGGGAAGTAAGTCTGCCCAAACTCACTTGTTGGCTCTTTCCTCTGCCTTCTAGCACCCACTTGGCACCCAAGACCTTCAAGGCAATCCTGGGATCGTGAGGAATAAAACTAGCAAACCACCAATTTAAAATATTTCTGACATTTTCTATTATTGGTCATATTGTCCCCTTCCTCTTCTGATTCAATTCTTGGCCACTCTACTCCCTAAAGCTATCCGTAACTATGTGTAGTTCCCTTTAGGGGAATGCACTAACAATGTCTTCTAACATAGTTACTTTAAATTAGGACATAATTGGAAATCTTGCAAATTATCTCTCTCCATCACTCTGTATTTAAGTATCCTGTGCTGTCTTTATGGTGCAAATATTCTTAGATCCTCCCACAGAGCTGGGAGCATTAAACTTAACTTATAAGATACTTTCACATAACCGGATTCTTTTTCAATAATTATATACCTGCTGTACTTATAAGTAGACTTAAATAGAAGAGATTTTTGACTACTTTACCAAGTTACATTTTGGAAAAGTATTTGAAACTAAAGATATAGAAATCCACTGGTGATAATTTCTTAAGACTTTTTTTTTCCATTTCAATTATTCTACCATTTCAGGCTATCATGCAAAGCTTTTTATTTATCAAAAAATAATTTGTTTAAAAACTCAATTTTTTTTTCTTTAAACCCAGGCAACAAATATTAATTGCATTAAAAGCAACCATTTAAAAACTTTTTTTTCCTATGCTGGCTGACAGAAAGATCTGAATAAAATCTTAAATAGATTCTCTGTTTGGCTGGCATTTTATGAGAAAGAAACACTGTTTACCAATACCATATTGCTTAGTCCTTTCCAAATTACTTTTTGCCTGGAGAGAAAACCTGGATCTACTGGATGTACTTCCACCTAAATTATGTGCAGAGAAAAACATTTCTCATTTTGTTTTTCAAGGAAACTTATTTCACATGGGAATGACTTAAAATTTGGCCAAATTAGAAAAGAGAATTATGTGTAAAACTCTTTATTCCACAATCCCTAACTTACCTCCTTTCTCTATTTATATCTTATACATATTTATCTAGATTGTTGGTAGGCGAAAGATACTATCTCTTTCACTGCAGGAGCATTTGGGATTAAATACACACACACACACACACACACACACACAGAGTTTGTGTTGCCTTTTCCTTTTCTTTATAGTAGCAGTTTTGCTTATACATGTTTATTGATAGAAGACATAGTAATAACTTAAGAATTCAGTGACATTTTAAAACGCGTTTTGATTCCTAACAGCAATACACAGGAATATTTATAAAATATATATGTGTGTGTGTGTGTGTGTGTGTGTACATATTTTAATCCTGGCAACACTCAATATGGTAGGAATCCAAAGTACCCCAGCAAGCCCTCCAACCTCCCTCTCTGCTCCCTGCTCCCTGCTCCCTAATACCAGGTTTACTGGACTCGGGCTTGGAGTCACTGCTTTTGTACATAAACACGTGTTTCAGGGGAGAAGCGTAAAGAACTAAGGGAAGGCCTTTATTCTACGGATGCCATTTTCTATAGTGTCCCTGCACCAGTATCTGGCATACAACTGATGAACCATTGTACAGTTATTTCTACATCCGTTCTAAAGAGTAGAATTATCTGGCAATAGTCATTAGAACTGCTGAGCTGTTACATGCTAAAAATAAATGTCAAATCTAGGAAGTTGAAACTTTAATCCATTTTCATATACTCTTAAAATTTTTAATAAAATGCAAACTCTGTAACAGTTATCACATAATCACTTAAGGGATTAAAAATATCATAATCTTGCCTGACAAGGCGTTTTAATGGTCAGTGAAATTTGTATGCTCTCTGTGGTCTTACTTAGTGGGTATGTCTCAATTTCTGCTTTATTGCATTCTATTACCATGTTTTATTCATTTGCCTATTCCTCTCCTGCTCAAAATTTCCAACTGAGAACAGAAAATGCTTTAACTTTTATGAAGGCTCATTCTCCCTCCCACCCAGTAAGCAAGGCTGCAAGTCTGATTATGTTCTTGACAGAGGTATTTTTATCCGTAATGAGCTAAGGCAATGGGTACCCTAAATTTACCTTGGCTTCTGTAATTGATCAATTAGGAGGCATAAAGTGTAGCCACTATGTTCATATTTCCCCCTGACCTGTTTATGAGTAATCTTAAGCATCTCTCATTTCAGTAGTCAAATTTAATGATCCCTGGTAAATCCGAAGATATTTTGAGATGAATAATCTAGATGAAAAGAGAGCAAGGGATTTCTGATTAACTTTAGTTGTTCCTACAAGCATGTCAGCCAACGTATTATGTAAGTGCCATTGGACAAGTGCAAACCTTTCTAATAATATTGGACACAGAGTGATTAAATGGTGAAATCTCACACTACAGTATTGAACAGGAACTTTCATGATGTCTATATTTCTGGATAAATATAGTTACGTTTTCTGCTTTGGTATTCAAGCAGGATCTACTCTGACTGAAAGGAAATTCAAGTACCTCTCCTCTTCTGCCAATGTGTAGAAGAATACAGACCAGGAGAGAGGACACCGCTGTCAGAGTGGCACAAAACACCGATGGTGCCAGAAAATGCACTCCCCATGGAAAATGTGAGTATTCTCCAGCTGAGAGCCAGCACTGCTGGTGATGAAGCCTTACTTGTTCTTTGAGCAAAGGCAGACATAGCAGCAGTAATGGAAGGAGCACTATCAGTAAGGGGCACATTGCAGAGGATCCAGAGTGATGCTATGGGTCCATCAGACTGTGGTAACATTACAATAAAGAAGCAATAACGATGCAGGCTCATCGTGCCGTGATACGTGGGAATGCTCCACATGTTATGATAATAGCAGCTTTCCAACCTTGAAAGGTCACGCGAGTCTTCCCAGGATGAATGATATCTGAAGGGAGATCTAGAACCTTCCTACTCAGAGGGTCACCCGCCAGACTGTGGCCATCATCTAGAAGCAATCGCTGAAAATACAGAATCTTGTGCCCAGCCTGGACCCACTGAAACAAATCTGTATTTTCACCATATCTCCAGGCGACTTGTCTGCACATTAAAGTTTGGGAAGCACTGCTCTGGAAGACACCTTGTAAGCAGCCAAGGGAACAGGCCTTCCAGGCTGAGGAAACAACGCTGGCAAAGGGCTGGAGGTAGGTAGAAGCCACCCTGGACTGGTAACTGTAGGCACATACTGGTTAGTATGGCCAGAGGGCAGAGTTTAGTGGGAGGGGTCACTGGAAGGGAGGCAGGAGAAACGTGCAGAGGTTGGATAATGACAGATAATGCCACATTCAGGAGCTGGGCTTTCTACAAGATAATGATCGAGGGGCGGATTTTGTATTTTAGTGAGATTCCTTCAGCTGTTATGTGGAGAACTTTTTGGCAGAGAGCAAGTAATGAAGCAGGGAGACCACTTAGGAGCCTATCATACTTAAAGGAAAAAGGACGGTTACTTAGACTAGACAGTGGCCATGAGGGTGGGAAGAACTGCCCACATATGCGGGACAGGAATATGAAAAGTTTAAACAGCCTTGGCGACTAACTGAATACAGAAGACTGAGAGGGGGGTGGGTATGAAAGAAGAAGTCACAGGCCCTCCCAGATTTCTGGCTTGTGCATTTGTGGTTGGTGGGCCCAGTCCCTGAAATAAGGACTGAATTTGGATAGAAAAGGTAAGCAACTTGATGAACATAACTGAGTTTGAAATATCTGTAGGACAAACAACTGATATCCAGGAGTACTTGAATATATAGGTCTAGAACTATAAATTTGGGAGTCATCAAACAGAGTTGTTAATAAAGGGTTAAGAGTGGATTGTGTCACCTGGGAAAGCATGTAATTTGAATGGCAAAGAAGGCACAAGGAGTAGTGGGCAACAGAAAGAATAGCTGTGAGGGGGCAGAGTACAGCTCAGAGGCAGAGCGTGTGCTTAGTTAGCATGCATGAGGTCCTGGGTTCAATCCCCAGACCTCTGTTAATTAATTAATAATTAAACTCAATTAACCTCCCCCCTCCAAAAAAGACCTGAAGGAAATGAAACAAAGAATAGCCCCAAAACATACCAGAAAGGATTAGTCAAGAGGTTGGAAGAAAAATAATGTATTATTTCTGCAACAAGAAGGAATTTTCTATGTCAAATGTAAAATCTTTATTGCTGATAAGATCTTAATGAAAGTAGTTTCAAAGAGGTGATGGGGTGGAAGAGGGAGGAGGAGGTGAGAGGAATGTGAAAAAATGAAGATAATGAATAGTTAGTTGACTATTAATGGAAAGGGAGTGAGGGTATCTTGGAGTCCCATGTTAAAAGATGCTTCTGAGACTGTTAAATATATGTATCTGAACGTGGTGGGCCCACCCAGGTTGTCAGTCTGCTCTACTTCACTTTAAATTTTTTCCCAAAATAAAAAAATAAATAAAGATAGCCACCTTTCTTGATAAAAATCTGCTTAATGAGGCTTATTTCCATTTGAGTTTGTTCATATTATACAAATATCGTAACTGGGACATCATAGAAGTGATAATCATTAACCTGATGATCATTTTGATATAGGGCCAAGAACAGATGGGGCCAACGGGATCTCCCGGCATTCTTTCTGAGCTTGGAAGATCCAGACTGCATGCGATATGATGAGATGGCATTTTCACTCCCTGGGTCTTATGAAGTCTTTGTTTTGAGTAACAAATACCTTTAACACATTGAAGTCACTATCAATCTGTGTTATGGTGATCTACTGAAATAATCTGGGTATGCTAACATTATTGTCAGGTTATTAAGCAAAATTCCTGGTAGATTAATGTTTAATTTAATGAGGCTAACATTTGAGTTAAGAACTTGGGAGATTAACGACACTGAGAAATGTCAAGAGTGAAAAACACTGTCACACATGGGTTGCTGCCAAACAACAAAGTGAGTCTCTGTGAAAGAGCGAGACTTTGTGAAGGGGAATTAGATGGCTGGAGACGGGGAGGTCTCTGGTAACTGCTGAAAACTGTGACTATCATCAGACAGTAGAAGCACCACAGGTGATGGGACAGGAGAACTTTCCATGAACCCAGGCAGGATGGCTGTCAGATGCAGCACATAGTCTTTTTTTTTTTTAAACTGCACTGGCCCTGGCCCCGGCCCAGATGGCACCCTACTTCCACCAAGTCAGGCATACGCTCGAGTACTTTGCTAGGTTCTCTATTTCACAGGCAACAAGTGTGTTAGGTCAGGCGTAACGATCACTAATCCACAAATGTGGAAACTGAGCTGAGTGAGGTCACACGGCTCCTGCTAGTCACACAGCTAGCAGATGGACCACTTGGGGCTCAAAGAGTCCGGTAGATGCTGGGACTCACACTTGCAACGGTGAGGTCCCCACCTGCCAGGAACTCACTGAGTACTTTTTTTCAGGTACCTGGTTGAGCTGTGCTTGAACTGTAAGTTTAACATCCAATCCCGTTTCTTCCTCTTTCCACGTTTCCTGTGATCACCTCATATGCAATTCTTAATTAGCAGCCTGGGGACTTTATAACAATCATTCTTTCTACTCATAATCTCATTCTTTGAAACAATTGGCTTGTTCTTTCCACTCATATTACTCAGGCAGTTCATTTTCTCCAGCTTTGTCTTCTTTACTGGACTACAATCCCCTCTCCTTCAAAAGTACTACTAAAGCTTCTCGATTACCTTTTCAGTACAGGTTCTATTTCCTTCCAAATTTAAATGTGTAGCTGTAGCTGGCTTTACAAATGTAAGGTACAGTTCCTTTGATATTCATGTCTAGTTTCACAGGTGTTATTTAATGTTAATAATGCTGTATACTGTTTTGTGCTTCTTGGTTTACAGAGCATAGACATTATCTCAATTAATTATTCTTTTTGATTTACACATAATATCCCTCATTGTATCGCCAGTTCTACTGTGTTCTTCATGCGCTGACTTTGTCCGGGACCTACTAGCATTGGGGGCTTTATAAATGGATGTCTAAGAGGCAGCTCACACTTACATGCAATCACATTCACCCTTACAGGAGAGAATTTCAGATACATGTGAAGCCTGGGGCAGCCAGGAGTGCTTCTGGGCAAACTGACCTGGACTTCCGTCAAAGGTAGATCCACCCCAGGAAGCAGGTGGCACATAACAAAAGTATCCAGAACAGGGTGTGTGTGGGGATAATATGTGCTACGGGGTCAGCGAGCCCCCATAAAAATGGCTTCGTGACATCTCAGTGTGGAAAGTATCATCGATGTCCCAGGGAGAATTCTGGGGCCTGGAAGATCCACACCTCCTAACCATAGCATTCTATGCTACCTATACTGCTTTATGTAACATCACCTTTAGTTTTTATATCCTTTGCCATTAAAGACATTTCACATCATCTTTATCTTTATACTTCTTTGGTGGGGGGCAGTGGGCATTACAGGATTTTTTTTAGTTGAAGTACTGTTGTTTTAACGGAGGTACTGGGGATTGAACCGAGGGCCTGGTGCACGCTAAGTTCGTGTTCTACCACTGAGCTATGCCCACCCCTTTTATACTTCAATCACCTACATCATTGTCCACTGTAAACCCACAAAAGCCTAAACCTGCTCTTCTCCTAATCTTCCCTGTCTTGGTAATCAGCCCCAAACCTAGAAATCATACTTGATTTCTTTTGCCCTCAAGCCCTATATTCATTCTATCAAATCTCCTAAGTCCACCTTAAAAACTGAATCTGACTCCATCCACCTCTCCTTATCTCTATTGCTGTCACTCAGGTTCAAAATCCTTTCTCACCTGAATCTTGTGCCGTGCTCTCAGATGATCCTAACTGGTCTCAGTGCTTTTATTCTTGCTCTTCTGTAGTCAATTCTCTTCACAGTTGCCAATATCATCTTTTAAAACCATACACAGTTCAGATGACTTCCTCCTGGTATAAGAGCTCCAATCATTTCTCATCACACACAAAACAATGTGGGTGGCCTTGGATGGTCTGGGCTCCACCTTCAACTACATGTGTCTCTGACTTGCTCACACCACTCTGGCCACAGTGTTCTGTTTTCTCTAATATACCAGTTTATTCCTACCTTAGGGCCTTGCTTTTGCCTTTCTCCCCAAGTACTTATTTTGCATGGCTGGCTTCCTCACATCATTTAAGTATCTATTCCAATCTTGAGTCTTTAGAGAGGTGGCCCCTCTGAACATCCTATCTAAAATAGCAACCCCACATTCACATGCACACACACTCGCGCAACACACGCATACCGACTTACGGCCTGTTGCGAGCTTACTTTATGGCATGTTGCACTACCTGGTATTATCATTAATTTAAATTCTTTGTTGATTGGCATCCTCTCCACTAGAGCATAAGTTCTATGAGGGCAGGGATTTGGTCCACCTTCACGGTCCCTCCACTCCCAGTGCTTAGCATGGTGCCCAGCACATGGTATGTGCTTCAGTAAATGTTGGTTGAATAAACTGATTATTCATAGCCATCTTTTCAGGCAGAATGGAAAATCAAGGCCTGACAGGGAGGGTTCCCTTAAGAACCAGCATGATAGACGATGGTAGAGGATGTGATCTGGAGTCAGACAGACTTGGACTTGGACTGGCTAGAACAGTAATTCTGGCCTTAAATAGCTAACTGATCTTAGGCTAGTTAATTACCTCCCTAAACCTGTGTTATTGTTGCTTCTTTTTTGACTTGTAAATAGTGAAGATTAGAAAACTTTTTGTAGTTTTTGTAAAGATCAAAGATAACTTCTGTGGAAATCCTAACATCGTGCCTACCACTGCAATTGGTAGGACTGTCACCAGACAGGGTACACCGTGGGTCAGGACACTGACCTCATTCTGAGTTCAAGTGACAAATATCAATTCAATAAAACACACTGTTTGGATTTAAACAAATATTCATGCTCACATTAGAAATAAAGTCCAATGGTATTTGAAATAGTGCCTGTTTAACATTGACTGTACCAAGGCTTTTGTAAAGCTTGTATTTTAAAAAAATTATACTGATTTTGAGCAGAGTAAACTAGCTTCCCACTGGATTGAAAACATTCCATTTGTAACTGTAAACACAGTTTCTCAACTGGTTATTCTCCATGGTTTAAGGCATATTTTAAAATTATAATTATTCTATCCTAAGCTATTGGAAAGGATGATAAAGTAATCAAAGAAATTCCTAATCCTCCCAGATACGATTTAATCTTTTTTTTTCCCTGACTGAAGAAGCCAAGCTTATTACCCTACAAATAGCTTTCATTTTATATGACTCTAACTGAATATATAAAATCTATTAGGTACATTTCCATTTATATGAAGATTTTACTGTGTTCAGATAAAATGTGCACTTGCAATCTTACTAGAGTTTCTTCCTAATTAAAGAACATACGGCTGGCAGATTTAAAGAATTAAAAAGTGTTTTAAATTGCTTTACAAAATACAATTTTTAAATAATAAGGAAACCTTTCCATGCTTTCAGGGAAGAATTTTTAACCTATTATGACTTATTTTATTTCTTGGAACAGAAGCTAAAAAATGTGCTTCTTCCGTTTTAAAAAGACCTCATATACAAGTATAATATGCATTAAGGCAAATTCAAAATTAAATTTTAAACCTTTAATCTAAAAACAATAAGGTGTACTGTTCATTACACACAATACCATTCTATTAGGAAATCTCAGTTGAAGTACTAAGCATGGTTTGTGATTTAGAACAGGGTTGAATAAGAGCTGGAATGGCTGATAGTTTAATTTTTTAAAAAGAATGCTTTAATCATGAAGAGTAGAACTATCTGAAATTTATCAAAAGGCTTCAGGAATATTATTCTGCCAAGCACAGAGATTATTTCTTAGTGGGTGGTGATTGTTTAGATAGTAAATGAATAAATGTTGAAATGTATGAGATACATACATCATTGACTTGCTCATTAATTCTTTCATTCACTTAACACTTATTTACTGAATGTCAACCACATGGTAGGCATAGTTCTGGAGGCTGGCATACAGCAGTGAAGAAAGAAGAATGTGGTATGGGTAAGCAGATGTTCCTACTGAAGTTTAAAGTTCATGTTCAACCCAAGCCAACTGATGCAAAATATATCTTCTAGAACACAAAACGTTTTGAAAATCTAACCTGTTTTCCAGGGAATAACTCTTAAGTGGAATCAACAAAAAGCCAAAGTACTGAATTTGGTTGAAAAGTTGGGCAATCCAATGATATTATATCACATACATTATATTATAGTAACTTGAAAGAATTTTTCTGTTTCTCTGTTTTGCTTTTAATAGACATGATGAACCTTAAGATCAGCCACACCTACATACCTTGTTTGTGACTTTCTAAGCTTCCAAATCTGGAATGCTAAAAATTGCACCAGCTCTGTTTACCAACTCTTTATGATGATACTCCATTTGGTTCAAATAAATCTTGACTCCACTATGCTTAACAGGATTTTTCTTTCTTTCTTTTTTAAAAGGATATCTTAATTATTTATTTATTTATTTATTTATTGGGGGGGGGGAGGTCATTAGGTTTATTTTATTTATTTTTAATGGAGGTACTGGGGATTGAAGCCTGGACGTCCTGCATGCTAAGCATGCACTTTACCACTGAGCTATACCCTCCCCACTTTAAGAGGATTTTTCAATGTGCTACTTTGACTACTCTTCTGAAGGCATGGAAATGCCACATCAGATGTCTAGAACAGTTAGGTCACTTTAGAAAAGTCTTTGATCACATTTGTGACTAAAAATTAGAGACTCTCTAATGAGGTATAATGTGAAATGAAATGCTGCTTTAAGAAGAAGCCAAGAGAAAAGAAAACAAAGAAAAACTAGCTAACTAACTAACCAACCAAGGAAATTACTTTTCTGCATCTGTGGGTTTTGGCTAACTGAAGAACAGATACAGAACTCTGGATAGCCAAACAATACCAGAAATCGATTGTCCTGCTCTTTGGCTATAGTAAGATTTGCAGCTAAAAACAGAAGGAGGTAGGACAGAGTGCACAGTGATCTCTGTACCATAGACTTGCTTCTTCTGGGGATTACAGAACTGTTCTCCTTATATAGATGAATGACCTAGGTCACTTTGATGAGCTCAGGAGTGATTTCAGTATGTGGTACACTTGGGACCTAACAGGGTATAGTCAGTGACTGCCTCATAAGCATCATTATCTGAGAAGTGGAAAATACTATTTGTGAGTGAAGCCATATGAGCCGTGAAGGGAAAAATCTAAGTTCAAGAGACAAGTACCTACATTACAATAATGCAGTGGCACGTTAGAGCTGGATAAATGGGACGAGTCGTTTACTCCAAGGGGGAATGAGTATGATTACCACCCAACAGGTGGCGCAGCTCAGACTGAAATGCTAGACTTTGGTTCGTAGGCTAATATTTTAGCACAGACCCATACCTTCTTTCTAGAATTTACTACGAAGTTTCTTTTCTAGGTATAGGTCACCCATTTCCTTTTTCAAAAGATTCAAATAAGAACTTGGTATCAATTAAATAAAAATATTTGATTCCTAAAATGGAAATTAAAAAATAAATTATTTTCATGTCCCCAAATGCATATTTTCCCAACAAAACTCTCAGTATGGTATGAAGAAAATCATTAGGCTTCGATGAAATTAATAATGTACATTTTTAATTTAGACAGGATCAGGCATGTTCAAGGTGATATGGCCTTAGCCTATATTATCAATTTATAGTGAGAAACAGAACAAGAGTACCTGGATAGGAACATGGCTGGCTGGTTTTCAAATAAAGTGAGGAAAATAAGGTTTTCATCAGCACTAAACACTCATGGAACATCTATCAAAAAATGACCCAGGCTGAGAAGCCTCTACAAAGTGAAAAGATTCATATGAATAGCAGAAGCTCTCTTGAGAAGTAAATGTTAAAATTGTGGCAATAGCCTTGAGAGTTTTCATTTAGAATTACAGCTTTTCTAAAGAATTGCACTTCTTCTATACCTTTGTCATCTCGTAAATCTGTTTATTACCACATGTGCTACAGTTTGTAGAGCAAATTTGCTCTAAATGGTGTGTGATGAGATTTGTAGCTAAAGAAAAATGTTTAAACCAAAGTTCAGCTTACGTCTAGTTTACCTTCATACATACCAAAATCCTGGTTAGCTGTAATAAAGCGCATCTCATTTATTTCTCTTCTTCCTATAAAGCCTTCTTCTGATCCCAGTGTTGTGAAATGTGTGGAAATTAATGTTCTGAATTTATATTCCCTACTGTATTTCATATTTGATGGGTGTTGTAATTCATCTAGTTCAACAGATATTAATTGAGTGTGAAGGCTTTGTATTGAGAATATATGAGATAACAGATGATTTAAAAACCGTAAGATTATTAGAGCTGAAAAGGTTTCAGATTACTTGTCCAACCTTCTTATTTAAAAAAATAAAGAAACTGAGAATCTGCCTAAGATTTCCGTACTTGTTGGTAGGGCTAAGACTAAAACTGAGGTCCCCTGAATTCTGATCTATTTTGCTTTATACCACACCTCAGTGGGCCAGAATCCCTGAACCTCCAAAGCTTCTTATTTTGTAAGGAGGATAAATAAATCTCTTTTTATAGTTAACTTAAAGAAGGGTAGAAATACAAGACGCTATAATGACTCAAAATATGCTGGGAAACAAACTATGGTTACCAAGGGGAAAGGGTGGAGGAGGGATAAATTAGGAGTTTCGGATTAACAGATACACATTACTATATATAAAACAGATTGCCAACAAGGACCTATTGTATAGCACAGAGAACTATACTCAATTTCTTATACTATAACATATGATAGAAAAGAATCTGAAAAAAAATATGTATATGTATAACTGAATCACTTTGTTATACACCTGAAACTAACATTGTAAATCAACTACATGTCAATAAAAAATAAAATTAAAAAACTATTATGTTGGGAGCAAAGAAAACTTAAACAAATAAACAAGAGCATTATGGACTTTATTACAGGAAAGGTGTGGTGCCTGTAGTCTTTGTTATCTGGACACACATAATTAATTTGCGGTTAAGTTACTTGTTCCACTTGGATTGCTGTACTTCCTGCTGAAGGCTACCCAACTGCTGCTGTAGAAACAAAGTGCGAGTCAAGCTGGGTGGTGGCCATAGAGAGAATCAACAACAGTAGCCTTGATACTACCTCAAACACTTCTCATATACAAAAAGCCAAATTTATTCCTCTCAAGGCTCTTGTGAAGGAGCTAACAGGTATCTTGTTTAAAAGGTCATAAATCAATTAATAAGGGAACATTACCTAAATGGGATCAATGTGGCTATCCAGAGTCTAAGCTTTTGTGGAAGAATGTGAATTCATACCCAGAACTTTCCTTTCACAAGTCTCTGACCTTTCTCAATAAAACTGGGGCAAGGGAGGGGAGTCCATGCCCTTCCAACAATGTCATCTTGTCATTCAAGCCTACTTATTCAAAAACTTTCTTTAGATAGAAACAAGCTGTCTGTGAACCCTGCGGAAACCCAGCTTCCACACAGGTTGGTTATCTATGGGTGGTATGGGAAGGACACAGAAGGGCACTGGATGTGGGCATCAGAAGACCCAGGCTTGACTCTTCCTTTTGTTATGCAACAGCTCTGTAACACAGGACATGATCCTTAATCATCATGAGTCTCAGTTTCTTCATGTACAAAATGGTGAAGATAAGTGAGGAAGACAACATCTGTCCAACATCCCTCACAGAGTTTTTATGAGGATCAGTGTGGAAATTACTCAATAAATCTTCTCTCTACTGATGTTCTTTCTCTCATAGATGCCATTACACCCACCCTAGTTCTACCATCAAGATTCACAGTACCCTTTTTGTAAATCTAAATTGTTGTATGAATAGAAGGTAGGACGTGCCAGGCTGTCATCTGGGGCTTTGCTACTGATGAACCTGTTCTTCATTTGTTATTCAGTATGGTACAGAGAAAGGATCAGTGTGAGTAATTATTACCAGTTTTATTCACTTTAATGACAGTTTTACTTTATAAATGTGAAATAACACTCTGTGATTTCATGAGGATCACAACCTCCTGAGGGTTTTTTTTTATGAATTTGAAAGCATCTTTTATAGGCAGCTATATTTATTCTTAGGAAACTGTGTACGGATCAAATCATTTTTAAATTTAGGGTTTATCTTAACGGCTTAGGAATAGAAATACACTGTGCAATATCAGTGCAAAATTTTTAAAGTTTTTTTTTAATTACGTTTTTAAAATAAATGTGTAACACATATGGGGACTCATTCATTGGGCAGGAAATACATATTGAAGCATGATTTGGAAAAAAATGACAGGATGTACTCATTGGGTAAAATGACATGAATTATGAATAGTATAAAGTGAATTCATTCTGTTGTTTTCTTTTCAATGGTTACTTACTCTGTCATCTGTTAATATTGATCATAAATTGTGTCACTTCCAAAAAAGGTGCCATATAAACCCAGAGGAACAAATAACACATTCCCAAAGAAGGCTTATTTTACTCCACTCTGAGTCATCATGAATGTCACCTTCCTTGGGCCATCATATAAAAAGCTGTCCATCAGGGGAAAAAAAACATTGACTTACTTGTGCATATATGAGCCTTATCCTTTTATGTCCAACTAAATCCCTCCTTCTCTGATGTCTGGCTACCCAAGTTCATGGGCATCCCTTTCTTTTGGAATTCTTGTGGCATGGTTGTCTAAAGTAGGCAGTAGGCCAGCAGCATACAGTAACTTGCATTGTTTTGCATCCCAGAGTATAAATTCTGATGCTACATTTAGATATGAGACTTACATCTGATATTTCTCTGCACGTTTTGTCTCAACATAGTTTTAATAGGCAACCATATAAATTCATGTTTCTGATTCATGAAGAATGGATGATCAAGAAAACTTGCTGATATTTTAACTATTCCCTCCAGGAGACTAATTCCCTTAATGATAGGAGGGCTGCTTGGTTCCTCTAATTTCTCTGGGTTCAACACACTGAAAGGCGAGAGGAACCTGAACAAAATGCTCAAGAAATCTCTCCACAGCTGTCCTGATTCTCAGATGTGTACTTGCAATAAATTTTGTTCTACCCTCAAGAATCATGAAGCACCATCAGCGCCTGGCTCCTCTCACTCCTTACGATGTCCTCTGTTTTCAAATGGAGTTACTGGGAAGCTCATAAATTTCCCCAAAGAACTAGTGAGGTCTTCTGAACCTAGCCTTCCTTCTAGTGGTGTTAGAAAGTCATTAACCCTGGAATTACAAAACTTTAAATACCCAAAAGATAAAGGGAAACTCTGCTCCTGGGGCTGGTTATAAATATACATTGCAAAGACTCTGATTGCTCTCTTAAAATAGCAAAAGAGGGATATAGCACAGGGACCCTAACACACCTTTCTTGGGCTTTTAAGTAACTATCAGTGAAGGGTTGGATATGCAAGACCTCTTTTCATCTTATTTGCTAGCAACATATATTT